CTTTTAGCCTATTACGTCAGTTTTAAGGCGCTTCAATTAGTTTATGGTGAGACATATTTGATGTATATTGTGTGGGGGGGGGAGCTCAGTCCCTAGAGTCGAGCTCACTCTTCCGTCGCCTGTCCTTGTGGAAGAACCCCCAATATGTGTCACCAGTCTGTCGGAATTGTTATTGACCCTTATAAAGATGGTCATCAAGGTTCTTAGCGTACATGCTTCTTCTACAGCTGTAATCAGGATTATATACAAATTAGTTTTGGGCGACTTTTGCCTTTCCTGAATTGGTAGCAGTTTCATTCAATAATAACGCTTTCTTTGCATAACTGACTACTTATTGCACATTAGTAGGTACGTTTTTATTTGTTACTTAAGCGTCCGCTGCTTCTCAGTCGATGCAGTGCGTCCACTAATAACATCGACCCTCACGGAAATCTTTATTAGTTTAGTTGATCTTCGTTGGTTTAGATCAATTAATTTACTAAGTTTATTTGTGTTTTATGTTTAGTTTTATTTCTGTTTTTGGTTTATTATTACACAATATTACTTTTATTTAAGCTTTAGAGTTCTTTTTAGTTTAGCTAGTTTAATTTATTTTGGTTTATATTTATTCAGTTAATTTACTATAGCTTAAGTCTAGTTTTAGATTTATTAGCGACATGCACTTGCTTTTCATGTTAAAATCTTCACTACTTAGATTTATTTATTTTATTTTAGTTTTAGATTAGTTTTGAGTTTAATTAGTTTAGCTTATTTTAGTTTAGTTTTTGGTAGTTAATTTACTTTAACTCCATTTCATTTTTTTACTTCAGCTCTAGATTTATCGGTGAATTTGTTTTTTACTTTCCTTTAAACTCGAAAATTCGCAGTTTTTTGCGTTTTTCCGCAAATTTTGGCAGTTCTTTTGCTGCCAAACATTATTCATATAATTTTTCGTATCTTTTCCACTGTTATACGCTCTACTTCTTTATTTAATTCTTTTTTCATCTGTAATGCCCAAACTGTATAGTTCTTAGTACCTATGCTCCAGCAATACGCAGCAGTCGGGTTGTAGCGTGGTCTTCTGATCACTAACCTAAAGTATGGCAAGTGCTGCAAGTAACATTCCGCAATTTGAAAAAGACCGGTAGTCACTCGCAAACCCACATTGAGTAGGGTTGCAATACTGTTTATCGTGCAGTCCAATTTCAATCCTTTTCGGTCACGCTAGGAGGCCGACTCCGTGATAAGCTTCTTTCTGACCGCTACGAAAAAGTTTATTCTGTAAAAAATGTTACTTAAATGGCATGCATTTTATCATTGATTTTGACTACCTTTATGAATTTAAACGTATTTAATGGAAAGCATGTACGAAAAATCCTCTCTTGTACTAATTTGATAAAAAAATACGCCTTCTTTAAATTTTATTCTTAAAAGGACGGTTTCGTTCCGTTTAAAATTTCTTTTCTAATTTTTAGTTTTTTAACGACTGTATGCTGTTCATTCATAATGCATCGTATCTGTCAATTTATTAATGTTGTCACTCATATATACAGCATGATCCATGTGTATTGCAAAATTCTATGAGAGCTATGCAACCAATTCTTCAAACCATAGGCAAGAACTTACTTTTCCTTAAACAGGATAAGCACAACATTCAAATTGTTAAACTTGAATTCAGTTCTAGCAGTCGGTAGGTTTCAAAACCATTCGACAATTAAGAAACTTTTTTAAACCGAACGAAACACTTCCCTTAAGAATAAAATTGAAAGAAGGCATAATTTTCTATAAAATAAGTAAAAGAGAGGATTTTGTCGTGCATACTTTCCATAAAATATATTTGAATTTATTTAGGCAGTCAAAATCAGTGATAAAAATGCGTGCTATTTAAGTAGCCATCTTTTAGAGAATCAACTTTTTCGCAGCGATCTGAAAGAAGCTTTTCAAATTGGGGAATGTATCTTGCAGGACTCGCCATACTGTAGATTGTTACCCCCTGAATTGACTGTATTCTCATCTTTTACAGGTCCGACTGTGGGCTACTAGCTTCCACAATCTTCTCTGGGATCCATGCGGCTGTCAGGCCTTTGAATGCTTCCTAAAAAAGGAATTCAGTGCTGAAAATCTGCACTTCTGGTTGGCCGTCAACGCCTATCAATTTGGACCCATCTTTCGTCTGAAGAGCAGCTGTCTAGCCATTTTTGAGGAATTCTTGGGAAAAAATGCTGTCAGTGAAATCAACATTGATAGTAAAACTATGGCTGCAACCGAGAAAGCAATTCAGGTACCGTATACATTTTAAAAGTTTCTGCGTAATTTTTTTGGCAAAGATTCCTTGTAAGGGCTACTCTTTATGTGCAGCAAATACTGCAAAATGTATTGGATCCATAACATTTCGGGAGCGCTCATCAATTGCAGCCACTCCAATGCATTGAAGAGTAACGAATAAGAAAACAGGCATTGGTACAGGAAGGTCACAGGTCATAGTCACTAAGGCTAATCGATAAATTAAGAAGGTTAAAACAGGCGGGAAGGAGAAACGGAGGAAAATGAGTTACGGGAAAAAAGGGACGGGGGAATGTGTAAATCTGGAACTCTTTTTTTACCAAAGCAAGGCTAGGTTAACCGCATGCTCAAACTGTTTGCATAGGTCCGGTTTAGAGCGTCTTATATAGGCCGCCTCTAGGTAGCGCAAGATATGAGATGTTCGTGCTCGAACAAGTGCACGTTATAGTAAGCCTGTTCTGTTTCACCATTGCAAAGCTTTGATACATTATATTTCTACGGCTTTTCTTGTAACGGCTACTTTTTCTCTCATTAGTTTATATTTGGTTTTTAGTTAAATCACTAAAGTTTAGCATACTTTTTGTTCACTTATCTTTAGTTTACTTTTGAGTTTTTTAGTTTTGGTTTATCATTCATTTTGAGTTTGGTTTAGTTTAATTTCATCACTCAGGTTGATTAATTTATTTTATTTTAGTTTGCATGGTTCCGCAGCTTGCGGAATTCTTGTTTCTTATTTATTGTATTTCTCATTTTCATTATCATTCACTGTTTTATTGCCAAACATTACGTTATTTAAATAATTCTTCTTATTATTTTCTACTTCTCTCTGCTCTGCTATTTCGATCATTTTTTTCTTCCACCCCACCCATTAAATCCCTATTACTGCTGGTCCCGTAAGACAGAAACCTGTGGTTATTTGTGTCTATAGCGTCCCTTACAAAGAATCTTTGCCCATCTTTTCAGTTAAATTATATTTCAAACGAATTTCATGTACACGTTTTAGAATCCCACCTGGTTCACCTTCGATGACGCTAAAGAACATATCTACAAGCTAATGAAGAGCGATTCCTACGTTCGATTCCTTCGGTCAGAGGACTACACGGCCGTGCTAAGGCTTGCAATCAACACTCACAGCCGACGGACACTTGGCAAGAGTTCCCTCTCCACTTCTTTATCTCCGGTGGAGGATTTGGGTGTGGGGATTGTGCATAGTCCTAGCTGCGGGTTTAATTGGTGAACACCTTTTAAAAGTATGCCACTAATGGCTTGACTCTGATGCTTTGCGTCAACCGTACTATTGATCAGTGATGAAGATCTGCTTCACAGAGAGCCAGCGCTGCCCTGTGTGGACATTGCTGCAGATATTTATGGTGTCCTTATGACCTGGTGCTTGCTTGATGCGCCCAATTTCCCGTATATAAAGCATGAAGATTATAGCATGTCATCTGCCCTCTGTATATTCACAAGATATTAAAGCTGTCCTGATGATGATGACTTTTGAGCCCTAGCGTACTGAGAACCCCCCGGCTTTTTCTGTAAATTTTAATAAATTACATAATTTGAAAAAGATCGTTGTCTTGTTAAGATTTTTAAGAATTGGTGTCCCGTAGCTTCTTGTTTAATTCCTATGGGCTGATAGGTCTATCACGATGGGTTATATTGATATAGAACACCCTGGCAGCAGCGATCTTCAGGCCCGGATCCTTGGGGGAAGAGAAGGAGGCAGAGACGCCAGGTGGGTGCTGGGAATGTGCCTTTGCCTGCGCAAGCAACCGCGCTCACAGCAGGCTATCGATCGGCCTACAGACAGCGAACGCAACCCGCAGCCACATCAATCGATAATTCAAACTTTAAGCTCAGTGTCAGCCGCCGAGTCCCAGCCAATCACGCCGGTAGCCAAAAGCTGATTGGCTCGCTAGACCTGGCTTACACTCGTTCGTTGCCCTAAATGTGTTGTACCTTTAACCCTCAAAGACTTGCGTTGACTTTCTGCAACGGGCTGGTCTGAGTGAATGCACTCTCTCTCTCTCTCTGGCCGACCGGTACTCTCTTTGTATCTCTTACGGGCTTTTTGATTCGGCATTCGTGTGAATTAGAAGTACCAAGTGCGGGTCATAAGAAATAGTTTATTCTGTACAGAAGGAGTGAAGAATAGGTAGGAGAAAATTGGTTGTCGCGTCGTACCAGCACATAACCCAGTCAGCGAATCTATGGGTTATATTGTTGACTGTGACTGTATTTCAGAAGAAAAAGATGCGATCACTAGAACAAGCCTTTTATTTTCGGATTCTGTCGTAGAATGGTGTGAGACAAACGCAGATTGTGACTTTATTGTTAGCCGACGGAGAGAGACGAATTTGTGACTGGAACGCAAGCAACACCCGCCAACATCCGTAAATATAAATTATCTTGACGAAAGCCTTGCATGTCGTGTCAGTGCTGGTTCATTTGAGAGATATTGTTGGTTGCAGAAGAAGGACCAAATGTTGGGAAGATGTGGTTGATGGCATTCATCGTGGGGCTTCTCTGCTGGATTGGGAAGGAACAATGGCATGGGCTCGATGGGCTAAGAATTGTTGATCCCCTCTATCTTGTTACACAGCAGGACGCGGTTTACGAAATTCTTCATACCGTGACCACATAAGATGAAACAAGGATAATTCAGTTAAAGTCGAGGGAAGTTTGGTGATGATTAGGCTCAGCAACATCTAGAAGTTGCAAATTCAGATCACGTCGGGGTCACCATTATCGCAGGGGTTTAACAGGTTAAACTCTAGCCGCTGCAATCTTCAGGTCCGGTTCCTTGTGGGGAGGAGAAGAAGGGAGACGTCAGATCGAAGGAATATTTTATTCTGTACAGAGGAAATGGGCAATACGTATGAGGAAATTGACTGACAGAGCAGCATGCAACTGCTGCACAGCGGGCCGCATCTGAAGTGAAATGAGCACGCGAATCATCCAAGCGTCTAGAACGGTCTTTGTTTGAGTCAGCACTGAAAAGTGATCGGCCAGGCTGGTGAATGCGCACTTCCTGGCAACCACCCGGGGGTTGAGCGTTGGTGTAATTTGCGGCACCTGTGATTGACTGTCCTAGAGGCCGATAGCCGTGTATGTGCACTCGTTAGCAGCAGTGAATGTCCTTGCGGATTAAGTCTTCAAAGTACCGACTTCATTACTGGGGACTGACAGCTGCGACACTGGCACTTACTCTTGCTGGAGGGATAAATCCCTCATGTGGGAAGCAGCGTCTCCGGTATCTCACTGCTCTGGCTGTCGACCCCCATTCCAGAAAATGTGTCCAAAACCCGCTCCCATAAGAGAGGCGAGTCCTACTGAGAGCTGCATTGTGCCAACTTTATAGCAGGCAGGGGGTGGATGTTAAGTTTACCTCCCGGCAATTGTTTAAATAATCGACTGTTTGCTAACAGAAAGCGCGCCATAAATAAAAAGGGAAGTACAGCCAATTTACTTATACAGTGGAGTCCGGTTAATGTGGACACCTCCGTTCCAGGCCAA